AAAAAAAAAAAAAAAAAAAAAAAAAAAAAAAGCATTGCACAATCTCTCTGGGCTGTATGTGAGGGCAGGTGGCTCCACTGTGTCTGGCGGCTCTGTGCGTCCGAGGCACACCTCCCAACCTTGGAATGGAACATCTGCATGGCTCCCTCTCCCAGCCACACACAACTCAGTACACATCCTATGTGGCAGCTGGGGTTCAATTCCAGAAGCTGCTGGTCTAGAGCCAATTTGGTCCTATAACAAATGATATGGGAAACATCTGGAGACGTAGCAGGAGAGAGCTAAACCCAGCCTCTCACGGCAGGAGCATACACATCACATGCGGTCGTCACACAAAAATACTGGCTTCAGGAGTCTCCACTGGTCATCCAAAGAAGGCATTAGTCCCATTCAGCCTCTCCTTGCCTCCCATCCGACTGTCTGAATTGATTGAGGCCACTCCCCCCCCGCTGCTGGTGACATCTCACTAAGGCACCGGCCCTGCTTACTGCCTGCAGGGGTTCCCATCAGCCCTGACTAAATGCCAAGTTGTCTGTCAAGCTTGGAGGTCCACCACACTTGGACCCCTATGTGAAGGGCCCTCCCATCTTTCTCTCCACTGGAGAGAGTGTACCCTCCAGCCACGCTGAACTCCCTGGGCTGGAGTCCACTCCCTGGACTCCAGATACACTGAGCTCTCACTGTCCCCACAACACACCAGGCTCTCCTGCCCAACCCCCATGACTCTGCCTGACACAGCCCTTGCCTACCCTGACAGCTTGGCTAATACCTACACATCACCGAGACTCACTGGGGAGAAACATGGAATGCAAGGTGCTGCTTCTCCCCAGACCGGGTGAAGTCGCCCTGCCGTGTGCACAACACCATGCGGCATCTTCCATCAGGGCAACCACAACATGGCCTCATGACTGCTGGTTGTCCTGTCAATCTCCCCCACCATGTGTGAGCAGCTTGGACCCTCGTCTATGCCCTGTCCCCTGCACGTCGTGGTTGCTCTACAAACACTAGAGACAGAAATAGGAGGGAGGGGGTGAAGAGGAAGGATGGAAGCGACGAACCCACCGGCTGCTCATCAGTTAAGAATAAAAGCACACTCCAGCCAGGTGCAGTGGCCCACACCTGTAATCCCAGCACTGTGGGAGGCCAAGGCAGACAGATCATGAGGTTAGGAGTTTGAGACCAACCTGGCCAGTATGGTGAAATCCCTTCTCTACTAAAAATACAAAAATTAGCCAGGCATGGTGGTGTGCACCTGTAGTCCCAGCTACTCAGGACGTTGAGGCAGGAGAATCGCTTGCACCCAGGAGGCAGAGGTTACAGTGAGCCAAGATCACACCACTGCACTCCAGCCTGTGTGACAGAGCGAGACTCTGTCTCAAAACAACAAAACAAAACAAAACCAAAAAAATGCACACCCTGCATGACTGACCTGCGTCCATGCTGTGGTTCATCTGGTGGTCACTCGTTTCTCCATCTTCACTCAGGTAGCCAGGGGGTGGGGTCTCTGGGAATCAGAAGGAAGGTGGTCCATTAAAAGGCCTTCACAGCTTGGCTCTGAGACACCTTTTGCAAACACATCACACATGCACACCATGATGCAAGTGTCCGTGGCCACAGGAGCCCCAGGACTCGGAGCAGAGGTACCAGCCCCTGGTTCTGCTGGCCTCGCCCCTGTCCACCTCTGACTCCCACTTGGATCGTAACTGCCTGTGCTCACGCAGGACCGGACCAACTCCCAAGTCTGAAATGGGTACTCCTAGATCCTCCACCGGGCTACATTCTCCCGGTCCTTCAAGGTGAGGGTGAAGCCCCACCCCCCCTCCAGGGAGGCGTCTGCAGCGCCTCCGCCTCACCCCTCTCTGTCCTCTGAAGATCTGCAGGCTCAGACCTGCCCTTTGGCCCCTGCTCTCTCCTCCTGTGCAGACTGGATGTTGATTTTGTTGTCCCTAGGGGATGTGTCAGCTCCGCAGTCAAATTGCAAGTTCAACGACGGCAAAGACAGTACGATCTATTTCTCTGAAACCGCCCCAGACCTTGACTGAAGCCCTCCAAGGTTTGCTCTTTGAACAGGGAGTAGCTGACTTACCCTCGGGATGCCAGGGTTGCCCGAAAAGGATCTGAGAAGGTGGGACAGTGGGTCTCTCCTTCACACTCTGACCCAAGCACACAGGCCTGCAGCCAACCTCAGCCCAGTAAAGTAACCCAGGAGGAACGTCACGTCCAAGTGAGAATGCTCTAAGAGGAACACAGCAGGACGACTGCCCCAGCCAGCAAAAGTGACTAGCCCAAGTGCGGCCAAGTCCAGCTTTCCTGGAGCCTGAAAGTGCTGGTGATTCACACATTATTTGCATGTAAATGAGGGGCTTCTAAAAACATTTGCAGTCTTTGACTGCAAAGTCCATTTCTCCCTGCAGAGTGAAAACTCAAAGTTGGCCTCAATTCCCACCCAGGTTGGAGCCCCTCGCCCAGGCCTGATGCCCAGGCGGATTCACGGAGCCAGCTCTGCACACTTGCGGCCTGGCGTCAGCTCGCTCCCCGCCTCTGCAGACCCCCAGTCCATCGGGGACAGAATGCCGGTCCCGGCCTCAAGGGTGGTGAGAGAAATAGTGTTGCTATTTCCGCTTCCAAAATAAATGACTGCACCAAGGCCGGGCGGAAGGGTCACGCTGCTCCTCTGTGCCAAGAAAAGCATCACCAGTGAGCGGGGCGCTGAGGCCACGGGTCCTCTCCTAACAGGGATGCGGTTCTGAGTCAGAGGCCTTCGGGCCAGAGCTGTGTGCAGAGAGGGGGTGAGCAGGGGACGGCTCGGGGGCAGAGATTGGGGCCACAGGACTGATGTCGGGGCTGACCGCTGCCCCTGCCTCCCAGGCCAGCCTGCGCCGCCCACGTGCCTACCTGGAATATTGCTCTGGGGCTCGATGCCTGCGGGGAAGTTAGTGTTTTCGGGGATGGAATGGCTGTAGTCGTCCAGTGGGGGGAACTCGGCCGGGATCTCTGTGTGGCGTGGTACCAACACAGGAGGTAGAACTGTCCGGGGGAGACAGAGCAGAGGTGGCTCAGCGTCCAAGCCAGACCAGGACCAAAGTCCCCACACCCCCAAGTGCACCGCAAACCCTGGGGGGGGGGGGCAGAGGAGAGGTGATGACCCCTCCCCAGCACCTGTTGACCCCACCGGCGGGCCAGGCGGCATACCTGGTGTCTCCACTCTCTGGTAGTGGTAGGGATTCACGCAGACCTCGTCCTTCTTCATATTGAAGGCGAACTCACACAGCTCCATGGCACGCAGCTCGTGGTGGCTGTGCAGGTCGGGCCATCGCCACAGGCGGCAGTAGATGACATGAGGGAGCCCTTTCCGATGGGACACCTGCAACCGGCCATCCAGGGACCTGCCGGGATGGGGAGGGGCAGAAAGAGAGGGAGATGTGGGTTGCGCTTGCTTTCTGCAGAGTACGGCCCTCTACTTTCAGACACTCGGAAAGCTCTCCCTCCCCTCATTCCTCCCAGACCCAGAGGTCCAGGAGATGAGGCCCCTGACAGTTGTGAGTGCTGGGAGGGACCTCAGGAGGAGACAACACAGGCCCCTGTGGAAGGGGAGGACCCTCAGCTGGTAGAGCAGGCCTCGCCCACCAGGGCCCAGTGTGTCCCCCGACTTTGTACTGCTCGTCAGGGAGGGGGTTCCACGTGAAGGCCCCGCACTTCAGTTGTGCTTGGAAAAGGCCCAGGAGCCTCTCACTGGCTTCCTTCTCAGCCCAGTGGTGTGGGGAGGGAACAGGGCTGGGGAGGACAATGAGAGTTCTTCAGGCACGGATATGAGGACCACAGTGATGCCAAGAGCGACAGAGTACACACGCTGTCCCCCCTCGCTCACCCAGGTCTCCCCCACACATTAGAAAGTCGGGGAAAAAAGAAAACTTGCCTTTCCTCCTTTCTCTCTTTCTTAGTTATTTGTGGTGAGCAGGAAGGGAAAGAGGGAAATTAAAGGGACTTTTATTTTTTTGAGACAGAATCTCTGTTTCTAGGCTGGAGTGCAGTGGCACGATCTCGGCTCACTGCAACCTCCGCCTCCCGGATTTTCCTGCCTCAGACTCCCGAGTAGCTGGGACGACAGGCACCCACCGCCAAGCCCGGCTAATTTTTGTATTTTTAGTAGAGACTGAGTTTCACCATGTTGGCCAGGCTGGTTTTCATCTCTTGACCTCATGATCTGCCTGCCTCGGCCTCCCAAAATGCAGGGATTACAGGTGTGAGCCACCGCACCCGGCCTTTCTACTTTTGATACAGGATCTTGCTCTGTCACTCAGGCTGGAGTGCAGTGGCGTGATCTTGGCTCACTGCAACGTCCACCTCCTGGGCTTAAGCAATCCTCCCAGCTCAGCCTCCCAAGTAGCTGGGACCACAGGTGCACACTACTGTGCCCACCTACAAATGGGCAGTGCCGTGACCCTGTGTGAACGATGTCTTCTATGGTGATGTGGCCAAGCAGCTATGACCTGGTGCCCTCACTTCTCAAGCCAGACCAAAGTGTGGTCCCTGGCCAGCAGCAGAGGTTCAGGGAAGTCTGTTAAAAATGTACATTCTCAGCTCCTACCCAACCTACGAAATCAGCATCTTTCCTTTCGTGAAATCCCCAGGTGATGTGCATGACAAGGGTCTGGGCAGCCTACAGGACAGGATGACTGGGGAGCTGGGGGGAGTGTTGGGGGGGTGGCAAAAGCATTGTCAGCTATGGGCAAGGCTGGGAGGCAGAAGGCTTCTGGAGGGACAGGAGACTTCAGACGGTGTCTGGTATCAGACAGGTGAGGAGATGCCACTAAAATAGAGTCCCTGGTTTAACGCACATTTAATGAGCACCTATTATGTGCAGCACTAAGGATACAGTGGTAAGGAAAGAGACTTCACCGTGAGAAAGGGCCAGCAAAGTGGTCCCTGTGTGCATGGACCCTCCAATCCACTGGGCAAGACTGACATAAATCAAATAATCACCAAAACCATTTTGGGAGGCCGAGGGGGATGGATCACTTGAGGCCAGGGGTTCGAAACGACCCTGGTCAACATGGTGAAACCCCGTCTCTATTAAAAGTATAGAAGTCAGCCAGACATGGTGGTGGGCACCTGTAATTTCAGCCAATCAAGAGGCTGAGGCAGGAGAATCACTGGAACCCGGGAGGGGGAGGTTGCAGTGAGCCAAGGTTGTGCCATGGCACTGCAGCCTGGGCAACAGGGTGAGACTGTTTCAAATGATCATCACCATCATCATCACAGAAACCTACAACTACACACAATGACAGTGTCCTGAAGGAAAGTAACACGGAACCCCAAGAGTACATGACCATGACACCCCACTTTGCTGAAGGGTTGGACAGGGCAACTCAGAGGAGGTGATCGTTAACCTGAAAGCCTAAAGGGTAAGTAAGAATGAGGCAAAGGCAAAGGGGCATGGGAGAAGGGCAGGACAAGGAGAGGGAAGGGCACATGCAAAGGCCCTGTGTAAAGTGGAAAACATGGTGAGGCCGGAAGAGCATGAAGGCCAGAGTGACAGGGGAGGGCATCGTGGGAGAGAGCTGGGTGGAGACGAGGCTGGGGAGGCAGAAGGGGCTACTCCACAGGACCCTGAAGGCCGTGATAAGGGGTTCTCCTGTTTTCTTTTTCTTCTTTTTTTTTTCTTTTTGGCGACATGGTCTTGCTCTGTTGCCCAGGCTGGAGTGCAGTGGCAGGATCTTGGCTCACTGCAACCTCTGATTCCCAGGTTCAAGCAATTCTCCTGCCTCAGCCTTCCTAGTACCTGGGATTACAGGCACATGCCACCATGCCCAACTAATTTTTGTATTTTTAGTAGAGCTGTGGTTTCACTGTGTTAGCCAGGCTGGTCTCAAACTTCTGACCTCAAGTGATCCTCCCACCTCGGCCTCCCAAAGTGCTGGGATTACAGGCATGAGCCACTGTGTCCAGCCGTGTTCTCCAGTTTTCTGAAAGTAGTATGTAGCCTCTGAGATGTGTAAATGGGCGGTGCATGTGTGTGGAAAAGGCCCCAGGAAACTCTGGCTACATGTGACCAGCCGGTTGCATGCAGGTAGCAGGAACAGAAGTGGGAACGAATGAGACGCATGCTCATGAGTCACAGGTACCCTATTAAGAGGCAGGACTGCTCTTTCTTCAAGGAGGCCCAACCTAGGACCCCGCCAGTCAGTGCCATGATTTTTTTAATAGCTGGGCAGGGCTGGCAGTGAGACATATGCAAGCTTGCCCTCTGTGCCTTCTTATGACCGAGGGCACCCATTTGCCTGAATACCCAGAATTCACGGGCACTCTGTGAAGAAGGGGCTGGCCAGATGCCACCAGCGGCACCAACCAAAGAGAGAAACAAAGGGACATTATCGCGCTCTGCACGCCACTGGCCTGGGAAGGGGAAAGGACAGACAAAGGTCAGAGCTGGGCTTGGTCACAGGAACTGACCCAGAGCTGCTGACTAAGGGCCTCTTGAAGGATGTAATTACCTTCCTCCCATGGGGCCCAAGAACAAGGAACCCCTACAGCTGAAAAACAGTAATTACCAGGCAGAACAAGAGCACAGCCCGGGACTCATCCCTGAGGTATAGAGGGAGGGCTGGCGGATGTGGAGTCGTAAGACCTGGGGTCAAGGAGGGTTCTACTCTCCTGGCTGGGAGACACTGGCAGCTCATCAGCGTCCTAGGACACTACAAGATGCGGTATTCTCCCGCCCTCACCCCAACCTCGTGAAGCTGGTTTCCATTTGAAAGTGCTTCATAAACAGCCACAAATTATCATTATCATTCTACATCACAGCTACTCCCCAAATCCAGCCCTGGACAAATAGGGTGAGCTGGAGAAAAAGGGAGAGTGGGAAGTGGCGAGTGGGAACAGAGAATTATTCAGCTGTTCTTCTCCTGCAAAGCCACGGAGTGCCCACAGATGAGGGAAGTGGCCACATTTGCTCTTTAGGACTTCACAGCCTCCCCTGCAACAGAAGGCCTCGGAGAAAGGCTCAGGCCAGCAGCAGGGGAGAATGAGGCTGGGGAGGTAAGCTCCATCCGGGTGATAGAGGTGGGTGGCCCTCTTGCCTTAAAAGTAATATTAATTATATGTTAATTATTTTGATAGTAACTCAATTTTTAAAAGCAAGGGAGAAGGCTGGGCACAGAGGCTCATGCCTGTAATCCCAGAACTTTGGGAGGCCAAGGCAGGCGGATCACGAGGTCAGGAGATCGAGGCCATCCTGACTAACAGGGTGAAACCCTGTCTTTACTAAAAATACAAATATTAGCCAGGCGTGGTGGCGCACGCCTGTAGTTCCAGCTACTCGGGAGGCTGAGGCAGGAGAATTGCTTAAAGCCGGGTGGCGAAGATTGCAGTGAGCCAAGATCATGCCACTGCACTCCAGTCTGGGCGACAGAGAGACTCAATGATAAAAAAAAAAAAAAAAAAGCAAGGGAGCTACAGCAATCAAGGCAGTAGGACAATGGTACAAGGACTGACAAACGGATCCATGGAACCTAACAGAGTCCAGAAATAGTTACATATACAGGGACAACTGGCTTCAACAAAGGTCCAAAGACAATTTGGTAGATTTCAACAAAGAGTGACATAACTGGATATATAAAAGAGATGATCTTCAAACGACACATTGTACTCTATGTAAAAACAAACTAAAGTGAAACTTAAAACTATAAAACTTCTAGAAGAATTAACAGGAGAAAATCCGTGTGACTTTTTTCAGACAGGTGAGGAGCTGTCACTATAATAGAATCCCTTATTAAGCACACATTTAATGAGCATCTATTATGTGTACAGTGGTAAGGAAAGAAACATCACCGTGAGAAAGGGCCAGCAAAGTGGTCCCTGTCTGCAGGGACCCTCCAATCCACTGGGCAAGACCGACATAAATCAAATAGTCACCAAAACCACTTTCGGAGGCCGAGGCGGGTGGATCCCCTGAGGCCAGGGGTTCAAAACCACCCCGGCCAACATAGTGAAACCCTGTCTCTACTAAAAGTACAAAAGTCAGCCAGACATGGTTTCTCAGATCCCATACCAAAAGCACTTCATTAAAAAAGAAATCAGACTGCATCAAAACGTAAGCTTCTGTTCTTTGAAAGACAGTTAAAGGAATAAAAAGGCAAGCACTCACTGGGAGAAAATATTTCCAAAGTATAGATCTGATAATGGACCTGTTTCTAGAACTCTGAAAACTCAAAATTAATATGATTTGAACAGACACTACCCAGACAGGTGTGAAGACGACGAGCACAGGAAAAGACACTTGACAATGGTGGTCACTGGAGAAGCACAAATCACCACCACGATGACACAGGACTACATACTCACTAGAATGGCTAAAATGAAAAACCTGACCATGCCGTGTGTTGGC